GGGCCGGGGCTTTCTCCTCCTCATCGCAGGACATGTTTCAACATTCTGCAAGGTTGTGCAGCCGCTTGCCTGCAGACTTTAGACGCGAGAGGAGTAGTAGTAGTAGTAGTAGTAGTAGTAGTAGTACTTGTAGTAGTAGTAGTAGTAGTAGTAGTAGTACTTGTAGTAGTAGTAGTACTTGTAGTACTTGTAGTACTTCTTGTTGTTGTTGTTGTAGGAGCAGTAGCAGTAGCAGTAGCAGCACCACCACCACCACGACGACGACTACTGCTACAACTACGACTACTACTTCCAGTGCTGTACTAGTACTACCACTTCGACGACAGCGACGACTGCTGCTACTGCTGCAGCGGCGGCGGTGACCGCGACTGCTACTGTTACCATGCACTGCCCCTCATGCTTCTACGACGTTGACAGCAAGCCACACCGCCTTTATCAGCATAGCCCAGAGACCCGACCGATAGGTGTGCTATGCTGAACCTTCGACCCGAAAACGTAGACCCTTCTTCTTGCGAGTCCTTCAGGCATTCTTGGAGGCACCATGTGGCCGGCCTGGTCGCACTCTGCATGGTCGTAGCGATTGCTGGCGCGAGCGCTGGGCTTCAACACAATGCAAGCCGAATGGCTCTGAACTGGCTTGGTGCATTTGTATCGGGCTTTCTGCGCCTTGCCATTTGTAGCACATTGATTTTTTTTAACTTGGAGTGTCCGAGACCTGCCAGTCCAGGAAGGCATGTGATATAGGGGTTTTAGGTTCTTGCTAGGCTTTAGAATTTGGGAGGTTTCATTCCCGCGTCACATGGGATTCTTGGCAATCTTCAACTCAAGCAATGTCTGTGCGTGTAGATTGTTTTGTGCAGCTTGCATACCAGGATTGCCGGCCTGGACGTTAACGGATTCTGATTCCCCTAACCCTTAACTTAACTCCTAAACCCCAAACTCTTAAACTCCTAAGCCCTAAACTCCTAAACCCTAAACCCTAGAACCCTTAACTCCTAAACCCTAAAACCCTAAAGCCCTAAACCCTTAGCCCTGAACCCTTAAAGCCTGAACCGGACCGCAATGTCGCGTGTTGATAGCGAATCATGGACCTCATGGCCTCCGCTGGATTGCCCAAGCAAAATCAAATTACCAATCCCCGGACCCCCACACCAAAACCCGCAACCTATAAACTATAAACCCTAAACCCTAGCCCTCAAACCCTAAACAAAAACCCTATAAACCCTAAACCCTATAAACCCTAAACCCTAAACCGTGAAGATCCGGGGCCCCAACCCTAAACCCAACGCCATCCCTTCGCTCTCATCCCAGGGCTCTCCACTGGTACCCTATCCACGGTGCCCTTGAAACTCTTGAGCTCCCAGGAGCCTGAGCATATGGGTTATATTACAATGATCTATATCTATATCTATATCTATATCTATATCTATGTATATGTATATAACGTATGTATGTGTATATAAGTTGAAGGTATATACATTATCGTTTTGGTCTATAGTATGTTGATAACCTTGTTTTTGCATTACAACATGTAATTTCTCAATTATATATTTTTGCTTGGATACTAATACAAAAATGATAATATGGGTGTGTGTATGTATGTATATATATATGTATGTATACATACATGAATATGAGGCTTACTGTGAAGGTTCCTACAGGGGCGATGATAGCGGCTACTATTTGCTGATTCTTGCGGTTGTCTGTGACCTCGTCGGAGTTGTCACCGGGTTGCAATGTTATACCCTAAACCCTAAACCCTAAACCGTTGCTAGGGCACCAGGGTTGCCAAGGTCATACGACAGGATGGCTTAGGGCAGAGGATAGAGGTCAAGGATCCCTGGTTATCCTACTGTTGATGATATAAATCCTGCATTACCTTAAGGACCCTAAACTATGGGATATATGGTATATTCCTTATTATGAGTAATGCAGGATTCATACCATCAACCGTAGTTGCGCAGCAGGGTCATCGACATTCGGTGTTGAAGGTTGTGCTAAAGTCTAAACCCTAAACCCTGTATCCACTCAACCCTAAGACCCAAACCCGGGTGGGGATGGACATCTCAAGTGATGTTTGAGCAAGTAGCTAGGAGGGCTGAGGAGGCTACATAAGTTGAGTAGGGGATGCAACCGCGCTGAGTCTCATGGTTTATAATTGCAGTCCCTGTTCAAAAAAGGGGATATAGAGTTTAGAGCTCCTTTTCGAAGTTTTCGTGGTGGGGGCTGGGTCGTTTTGGAGTCTTAGACATCTGCCAGGAAAATCGGATGATTTGAACCTCGCAGAGCAGCGACTGCTTCTGCTCATTGCTGCAAGCTTCTTCTACTTGATGGAGGCAACGCAGCTGTGATACATATGCGAGGATGCTCCGAAACGCCCCGAAGACAAGCAACAAGCAACACCAGCAACAACCCCGTCTGCGCACGAAATAGAACCGCTCCTTTCATTGTTCACTAAACCTTTCGATCTTGATCGTGCTCTTATCAGCAACCCGTATTCTGAAAATATAAAGCACTACTTAAACCCAAAGCCCCGAAAACCTGCACAGTCCTACAACTCAAGCCGGTAGCCCGAAAGCCTAAACCACGGCCTTATAAGCCCCAAAAAGCCCTAAACCCCTAGTCCCTAATCCCTCGAAGGCCTACCCTGACCCCTACCTTTAACCCTGTGACACACCCCCCCCCACCTACCCTTGAAGGAACTACATAAATCCTATTCAGCAACAACAGGAAGGGGTTTAGGGGTACCCCTAAACCCTAAGCCTGTGTGCTACACCTTAAACCCTAAACCCTGAGCCTATTCGGTAACCCCTAAACTGGCCCTAAACCCCAAACCCCAGACCCTAAACCTAAGCAAAACCCTAAACCCTAAATCTCAAACCCCAAACCCATTCCAGGTTGACCGTGTGAACGGCCAGTCAAGGGCGGAAGAGGCCATGCAGCTTCGGCGAGGCTTCCGGGGGTGCCTTGGATGTTCACCGGTTTAGGGCTTAGCGTTTAGGGTTTAGGGTTGAAGGGTTCCTTCCATTTTTTTTGTGGTTTGGTTTTTATGTAGGGCTTATATAAGCGGATTTATCACTTTTTTGTTTTAGTAGTTTTGCTTTCTTCTATTCATTTTTAAAAATACAGGAAGCCCTGAACCCTGAATGGTAAGTGTGAGACGCGCTAGAGTGGATTGGGGAGAAAAGGGGCTTAAAACAAAAAGACGTACGTGTGCGCGTTTTTGCCCGGGGGTTCTAAGCCCAAACAGAGTAGATTCTGGGATTGCTATATTGGGAAGTATGGTCTAGGGTTTAGGGGTCAGGGTTTAGGGTTTAGGGGTTTAGGGTTTAGGGTTATGGTTGGGGTAAATATACCCTCCATAAACGAAAGGAACCCATCTAGATACCTATGACCCCTTGGGACAGCCCAGGTCCATCGCGCATGCCACATGCTCGAAGCTGGACGACGCCGAACGGATTCATGCGGAGACCTGCAGTGGTTGAGGGCTTAGGGGTCAGAGTTCAGGGTTAAGAGATGAGGGTTCAGGATTTATAGGGTTTATAGGATGTCGGATTTCGGTCGGGATTAGTACACTCCTTTTGTGGGGTGCCCTTTTAAAGCTGAGCCATAGAGGGGGGAGATTCGTTCTTTCAACGGCTGCTGGGGAGCCAGGAGATCGGCGCCCAAACCGAGGACGTAGACTACGCCATCCAGGTGCTTTTGACTGCTGGGATGTCAACACCGACGCTCCGGGACGTCGCGCGTGAAGGTGTTGGGATTCTGGATGCAGGCCATGCCGAGATCGCCGTTCCATTTCTGGCATTGATTCCCTTCACTGCCATGTCGATATTCAGTTTTTGCATCGACTTCGAGTACCTGCCGCAAGCTGCGTGGGTCTACTACATGCTCCAGGTGTATCCCATCCTCTGCCGGGTCGCCCTTCTGGTCGTCATTTCTCGCAGTGCCACGGACGAGCGGTGCTTCATCATGAAGATGATGACCAAGCTGGTTGCCATCTACCTGGCCGTGATTTGCCCGATCCTGGTGCGCAGGGACCCTACCCCAAGCCATCTATCCAGCTATCTATCTGTCCATATATATATATATGTATGTATATGTGTACATATATGCGTAAGCATGATCAAATCTGAGTAGGTTTCTGTGACGACAGGGAGAATCGCATTTAGCAGGAGGTTTAGGGTTTAGGGTTTAGCTATCATATTGAGGGTCCTCAGGGGTGCTTAGAGAAGAGTGATACAATCTATGGAGTCTACACTGAGGGTCCCTTATTCCATCCTTTGAAGCGCTCTACAAGAAATTTTCTACAGAGCGCCTCAGCTAGGCGATAAAGCATCCTAATCCCTGGTCCAGGTACAATGGGAGTGGTGTCTAGGCTGCTCTTGAAATGTTTTCCAGTTCCAGTAGTCTGTACAATGCGTGAGTGGGTGGCCTGGAACATACTTGTTATTGTCCCCAAATCCGAAATCAAGTTATAAAGCCCTCGAAGAGCAATCCTCAACCCTAGGCCCTAAACTCTAAACCCGCTCAGGTACGGTTCCAGTGGGCAGTTGCCGGATCAAGCCTTGATCGACGCGTTTTTCTACACGGCCATGTGCTGCTTCTCCTTCCTCGGCACTTCAGTTGCGACGCCTTACTGGCGCTCTAGGTTTAAGGTTTATAGGGCTTAGATTCAGTTTACTCACCTGACCCCAACCGCAAGCAAGAAAAAACACACATATTTAAGTTATGCTTTGAGGGAACCCAAAGCCTTCATCAATCTAGCAAAAAGTTGGCGATAGGCCCCTTCTCGTTAGTTTGCTCACTTCCTGAGAAGAAGCCGCAGAGAGTAAAGTGTGTTAAGTCCTGTGGCTTTCAATGTTTATTCTTCAGTTCAGGGGTTTTGGGGCTCTGGGTCCCTAAGCCTCGCAATGGCTCAAGAGCTGCATGAAGTACAGGATCCTATTGCAAGTGAAGTTCTCCAAGTATGTATTCAGCCTGCACGTGGCTCTATGCATGTGAAGTCTCTGCATGTGAAACCTTCGAAGTGTCTGCATGTCGATGAATGCGATGCCTCTGTGGAGTGTAAACTTCGGGCCTGTATATCACGCAGGTCCCCAGACAGCTCGAAGTAGGTCTGAGGTCTTTCGGGTGTGGCTTGGTTGCTGTTATGGAGGACTGCTGTCAGATAGGCTTCGAGCTAGCTATTGTGCATCTGTAGTTGTCGTTGAACCAGCCTTCCCTGACAGCTTGCTGTACTTAGTGGCACGTGCTGAGTATGGTGTTAACGGTTCGACGAGACCAGTATCGCTACAGACCTTGCCAGGCTTGTGCGAGTGTGCGTGTCAAAAAACCCTCATGAATATCTTATGTCGCTTCCTCTGAGACAGCTCTTTCCTCGCAGCACCAAGGCTGCGAAAAACTGTATATCTTTTGTGCACATGGTGATGAATTTCTGCATGTCAAGGGTAAACCACAGAGGCAACCTACTGGAACTGCACTCTGAGTTACAGATGGACCTGTGAAGGCCGCTTTTAGCCAACATGGGCTATACCCACGAAGGTGTGATGGGCTCAAGATAGCCCTCCGCGTACCTAGGATCCCCCTATCACCTATCCCGCGTTCTGTGAATGACGGAGTCCGAGAAGTTAGCGGAGTGAGCCTCCCGGTCCCAAAACTGTGATGTGTTTAGTCGAGCCTGCTGAGTTATCTAGCTCACTCCTATCCTTCTGAGGAGGCAAAAGAAATGAATCAGCACAACGCTTGAGATGTGATTCTGTATGAGTCTGTGCTTGTGTACTGTACTAGTGTACTACTACCTCAATGATTTCGATGGAGCGTAGGCGTAAATAATAAAGCCGTGTCCGTTTTCACCTCGAAGCTCGTGAGGAGCATGGGTCCTTTCTACTATAGGCCTTGCGGTTGCGTTTTGTGTTATTCAACTCTGTAGGTTGGACAAGGCCCTTGGAGCAAGGGATCGTCGTGAGTTAGCCGACTTGGGGCCACATGTGCCGCTCCCTGCGAACCGTGGACCACCCTCGCCTGCATAGCCCGAGTCGCGAGAGTCTAAACCCTATACCCTAAACCCTCGGAGAAAGGGCCACTGCACATAAAAAAAGAAACCCTAAATGGCTACAGCCATTTTGGCTCAAGAGCTACAGCCATTTTGGCTCAAGCTCAAGCCTGTCAAAGCAAAAGCTTGCTTCAGAAAGGTTTCTCTTGGGCTCCTGTGCTGCTTTGCTTTCCTGCTCGCGCCGAAAGACACTGTCGTCTGTCGTTCTGAGTGATGCTTTCGCCCGAGGAAGCTGTGAAACTGAAGAGAATGAGTCCAGAGGAGGTTCAGAAAGCGAAGGAGAGACTAGGCCATGAGACGGAAGATTCGCTTTTCCCGGGTGGTAGACGGGCACAGCTATTTCAGAAGAGTATTGCTGAGGACAAGCAACGTAGTCCGGCCCCCCTCGAGAAGGAGGAATGTGCACTGCCCCCTGTTGGTAGGCATACTGAGGCTCTGGAACATCCGTCTGCTGCCCGCACTACAACGGGGCCAGCACAAGCCTCTGGGAGTCCTGCCCCTAAGGCTAGTGGTGATGCCAGTAGGGAGCCGAAACTCTCCAAGCGCTCTGGGGCTATCCCGGCTCCAGATTTCAAGAAACCCAAGCTCAGCAATGATCAGGAAATGAAAGTGGAACCAGGTGACTCCATTAACTCGCAAGAAACTGATGCTGAAATCCCGGATCTCGCCCAAGCAGACTCGCCCAGCTTTGCCACTCAGGCACGCGAAGTTCCGGGGCCTCTTCATATTGACATGACACAGTGCGATGACGATGATGAAGCTGATGTCCCCGATGAATTGATTGAGGCCCAGTGCACCCAACCCTCCCATCCCGCGAATTTGTCCCCTGCAGGAGCTGGAACAATACCACAATTCGATGCCTCACCACTGCATCAACAACCCCAACAATTAGGTGCATTTCCTTCCTTAATTAGTAATGATCTTGCCAATTCCGCTGCATGCCCCCCACCGCCGCCACAGGTGACATACACAGCCCCTCAGGACATGCCACCGTGGCTGCAGGACATTCATCGTGGACTACAGAGTCTTCACACCAAGGCGGACCGTCAGTTTGCCACTTTTAGTTCGGAGCTTCAGAACCAGAATATACGCGTAGCCAACCTAGAGCACGTCAGCGCTGAACATACTGGCAAACATGTGTCGGCAGAGTCTAGGCTTTCGGAACTTGAGAAGAAGATAATTCAACTGGAAAGACATGCGGAACAGAGATCTAGATCTCCTGCCCGTACTGGACCTTTCCCTGGCAACCGCTCGCCAAGAGATCAAAGGTCACCGAGATCTCCTAGGCAGAGTTTCAGACAGGATGATTTTATCGAAGAGGACCTAGACCTTGTGTTCGGAGGGTGGACGGACGCCAGACGTGACGACGCCATTGAAGAAACTCGGAACATTCTTAGAGACGTCAACTCGTTGGAATTAGCGGAGGAAATATGGAGCCCGTATTCCCGCACTAGCTTTGTCAAGATACGACTCGTCTTTCCGGACCCGGAGGCCCATATCTCCAAACGTAGAAAATTCCAGAGCGAGCTTCTCGACAAGTTGAAAAAGAAGTCCTATGTGAGCGGAGTGGCAGGGAGTGAGAGAAACCGATTATGGATGACCAAATCCAAAACACCGGAGGAGCGCTCTCGCATTCGCGCGATCGTCTTGACAAAAGAATTTTACAAGAGCTTGCCTCATGTAGACGGTTCGGCGATCCTCCCGTTCACAGACAACAACATTGACATCTCGTGGAACGGGAAAGTATTTATAGGGCGACACCAACTGCTCGGTTCTATTCACCGAGAGGGAGAACCCGAAATCCACGACGTCATGCTTTCTGACGCAAAGGGAAACCATTTGGAATGGTTTTTGATTGCAAAGACTTTCGCTTCGGCCACAGGGAGGGCTATTGACACCCTTCAAGAGTGCTGGGATCAATTCGGATCTTCCCAACCCCGCGATAGGGCCTGACAGATGCCGCCTCCCACCATGTTTCACACCGCATCTTGGAACATCCAGGGTAAACATGTTAAAGATTTAGAACTTGCTTGGCCTGCTCTGGGTCTTGATGGTTTGGACTTTTTCGGGGTCCAAGAATTAGGCGGCCAGAAAGACTTGCCGCCCCCTTGGCAGATTTTGGAGGCTAAACTGGATGGTTTGTGGCATATCTACGCTACCAACCCTCCCCAGGCCTTTAGGTCAGTAGGTGTCGCCATTCATTCACGACACGCTTCTGCAGTTCAGAAAGTTCATTGTATGAGCTGTGGTATTTGCGTGATCTTAAAAACCTCTGGGGCTCGACTTTTCCTAATTAGTGCTCACCTTCCACACCGTCAGCGTGAAGACTGCTTCTCGGCTTGGCAAACCTTTAATTCGGAATTAGATAATTTGCTTGCAAATAGGAGACTGCATGATTCTGTGGTGCTCATGTTGGATACCAACTATGAACTAGGCCCCGTAGAGAATTTGCTAGACCCCAACACATCAGACGAGAGAGGCTTTATTGCGGCTAATTTCATTAGTCAACACGGGTTTGTTGCAACACAACCTCATACCTATACTTGGTCCAATAGTCAAGGGTCTTGTTCTAAGATTGACTTCATTTGTGTTTCGGTCCCAACAGTTAATATCGTTACGCAGGACGTATTGGAGAATTCGGATTTCATTCTCGGGGCTGACCACCGCGCGGTCACTGCAAGCTTTCATTGTCCCTGTCCTTGTAGGAAACCATCCTCCCGACCTCCCAGAGCTCACCATAGCAGATGTGGACAGTGGCGCTGCGATGCAGCACAGCTGCTCACTTCGGCCAACTCACTGGCCGAGCGTTTGGATCTGTCGGCTAGAGATCTCTCCTTGCAGGACCTTCAAACCCTTTGCAACCAAACAAGCCGTCGTCCCTTAAGCTACAGGTTCAAGGACCCACCTCATGTCCTGGAAGCCATAAAGCTTCGCAAAACCCTGAGCGGTAGGGAAGCTCGCCAACTTGGCAAAGATATATTCCGAATGCGGGCGCAGGCCAAGCAGCTGTGGCTGACGGAACTCCTGGACCGTGGTTCTAAAGGGGATTACGGGGCTATTTCCTACTTCCGAAAAAGGCAGAGCA